CTTTTTCAGACAAATACACCCTTTTGTTAGTAAAATTTGCATGCTCTTGTTTCTTAGAGATGTAGTAGAAGGACTTGCATTCATGCAATGGCTAGGGAGGTCTGTGTGTCTGGCAGGAAAGTGTAGGGGTGTGGTTATGTCTGTGTAGTATTCCATGTGGTTTAGAGATGTTGAAGGATTTCACTTACCTCTCCATGGCATCATATTGCACTGTGTAGGTATAATCTCCACTGAGCAAAGGCTTTTGATTAAACTAGTGTTGAAACATGGATTTTCTTGTTCTCTATCCTTAGTTGGCAAGATATGGTAACAGGGGTAAGATGTGATGAATATGCTTTTGCACTTTGAGGTATAGATGATTGGGCTATATGTTTAAGAAAGCTTTAGCAACTTCTACTGCAAGTATGTATTTTCAATTCTTGCTTTAGATTTCATGCTGATATTAGCTTAGATAAGCCCTTGATTGTCTCTGTAGTATTCACTGACTTTTATCTCTCTTTGTGTATCTTTCCAAACAGGTGTTTCTGAAAGTAGTAGGGCACTTCATTATTTGTGGCTTCCATGCCAAAAACTAGACCTCTTTGTTTGACTGTGTGATCTCTGCCAAATACTTACACTACTTAGAACTGGTTTGTGTTGATCTGGGAGAGAGTCTGCTTCTTTATCAGAAGATTTTTCCTGCCTGTTTAGCTTGCTGTTGGTGTGATAATTTATTGTTGGCTTTGTCTTTCTTTACGACTTCTTTAATATGTTTCCTTATGGATATAATTTCATGAGATGAGCTTAGGTCATGTGTCAGTCCTAAAGACTGTGAAGATATGCATGCCCTAGTTTGCTACTAAAATAAGGAGGAACCTGCTCTTTTTGCATGTGATTTTTCATTTGCTTGTTATTCCTTTGAAACAATGCTTCTTTGAAAATTTTGTGCTTTTTATGTTAGACATACCCTTTCAATTTAGAGACTAGACCTTTCATTTTTGAGACTTCATGCATTTATTCTTTAAGGCTGATCTGCTGCATCAAATCCATTAAGTCATTCTTTTTTCTTTTTTTGTGGCTCTTAAATGAATGAGAGAAACTTCCTTCAGTGAGAAAAATAGGGACATACTATTTCTTTTTAAGAGCGAGAACTCAGAATTTGAAAGGGACTTGGACAAATTCAACGTTGGAAAGTACACATAGAAGAATTTAAATTTGAAAGCAGTTGTGTCTGATTTCTTTTTTTTTTTTTCATCTTTCATGTGTAGGACTCACTAGAAAGCCTGGCAAAGGACTCCATTTCATGTTTACTGAGTGATATGCCTTATGTGTACAGCTGCCAGAGCCTTTATGTTTATTTAATGAACATTTTGTAATTTATAAGTAGTATTATCTCTCAACTTTTTAGACTGATATTTGATATGACAGTACTGAACAAAACCTGCAAAAGTGGTTGGGAAAAGTAGGTGCAAAAGAGAGTTCAAGGAGGTTAAAGTGAGAATCCCAACACTCAAAAATTTAGACCTCATTTCTGAACCAAGGAATTCCTACATGTTTCTGTATCAGAAAGAAACTTCTTCAGCATTGCTAATTTCTGTGTGAGTTTTGTAAATGAAGAGCCCATGACATTCCCACCCCCACATGCTTTATGCAGTGAAGTGTAATTCTTTGTGATATTACTCTTCTAACCACTTTCAGTAATCTTGCCAATGACAATTGCTTATTGTTGCAATAGTTTTGCTTAAGCTCAGCAGAAGGACCATGTTTTATAGCAATATTATTATCACTCAGGGTGTTTTATTATAGTAATTGAGTTGTGGAAATTTTAGAGGAATTAAACTACTACTATTTTTAGTTTAGATAGCATAAAGAAGATAGAGGATAAATAAATCAAGAATTACTATTTTAAAAGTGGTATTATTCTAGCTTGCTAAAAGCAATAAACATGTAGCTCCTGCTTCTGAAATTGGCACATATACAGAGCATGAGAGAAAAATTTGCTAATGTTTTCATTCTTGCTGTCCAGCAGTTTCTCTTGGAATGAACCTTTTCTGTTCTTGACACATAAAATAATTGTGAAATAACTGAGATTTATGAAGCAAGGTATAGTGCAATATGGTCTCAAAGAAATGCGTATGAAGTTTGGGCATAATTTTGAAAAATTAATAGGTCTGATAAAAATATCAAGCTGATGTACTTTGAAGCATTCTGCGCTTAGATCTTCTTTTAGGTAATGAGCTGGGTTGTTACTCTGCACTCTTACAGATTGACTTTGGTCACTTTCTTCTGCAAAAGCAGAGAACGGGTCATTGGCAAGAACAAGGAACTGATGACCCCAGTCTTAGGTTCTTTTAAGTGTTTAGGCTACAGAAGAATCAATGATTTATAATGTGGACTCTAAATAACCATTTTACTGAAATAGTTGTTTTGTTGAATGAATGCTCTTTTGTGTTCAGTCATCAGAGTCTTGGAACCTGGAATTATAAAAGGTCACCTAAATGGTTTAGGGCAGGATAAGTATTTTGGACTATTCCCAGTGCTTTGTGTCAACATGCTGCTTTCTTTTATTCCTGGGTCTTTTGCATCTCATTGAAAAAGTTTCTAAAAGTATTCACTAATATTTCAGAAATTGCTTGGCTCATTGCTGAGCTGCTCAAGGTGAGTTTCAGTAGACACTGCTGTCTTGGATGCTTAAAACTTTTCAGAGTTTTCTGTAACCCGTTCTAACATGTGTCTCTGTCTTTTCTACCATCTTCAAGTGAAAACATAGAACATACTATCGATAACACTCATTGCTTTCAGTCCTCTCCTCTTACATTGTGGCTGTATGTCTTGTCTCCTGCTTACTCCTAATACATGTGTAGGACTTTTTTCTGTGCATGTAAGCTGAAACCTATTTTGTACCTTAGCCTTTTTTAACTTACTAATTTATACTATTCTGTCATCCTGATATTATGCTATTTTTTTTCTGCGTCTGCTTTTGTGAGTTTAATTGGTTGCCTTGACAGTTTTTGTGTCATTCCTTTACCTCTTTGCCTTTCAGTTTCTTGAGTTCATGGAAACTTTCTAGACCTGCCTTGATTTCCTCAGAGGAAGTTCTAACACTCTCTTTTCACTTCTGTCCAAATTGTCTCTGTTATTAAATATTCAGACGTCCCAGTTGATCAGAAACAAAATAATACCTTTTCTTCACTTCCTGAAACGAAACATGACTGACTACATTGTGGGATTTTTAAACTAATGACCTGGTTAGCTTTTGAACAAGCAGTGTATCAGGACACGGTCACCCCTTTATAGTCCTATCACTTGCCCTTACCAGCCAGCCCTGCCCTTGCAATCGCTCAGCAATACAGCCTCTACCTCTCTTTCTCTGTTTCGGTATCTTGACAGGGCTTCCGTTTTCCTTCTTTGATTTCCACACTACATGTTCAATAAGTCTGAACTTTGGAGTGAGGTGGATTGCATCATGTGTACCATGCTTCTGGAACAGGTTTTCCCTTTTAAAGGAGCTTTCCCAGTTTATTCAGAAATAAATGAAACTCCTGTTAGGAAATGTCTTTTACTTTCTGTGGTGATGAGAAACAAATACCAACTTTTTTAAGCATGTCTGAAAAAAAAGATAACTGTAGAGTTGAACTGCCAAGTTTCCCCAAGAAGCAGGTTATTACTAAGGAACTGTAAACTGTTGAAAAAAAAAAAACCAAACCCAAACGTTTGTAATGGAAACAGTTTAACACTAATGCTTGTGGGCACTTTAAAACAGCATAGCTTTTCCATCTCATGACTTTCAAACTTCCCAAGTACCAGTTCCTTGCTGCTGCATTGCTTTAGTCATCACTATATTATATAGTGGTTTCAGCAACACTGTTGTTCATACTACAAATATGTTGCTCGAGGTGGTTCAGTAGAGTGTTGTTTCTAGCCTGATACACAAAACAAACGTAAACCCAAATCTGCGGCTTCCGTTTTGGTGGTGGTGGCATACACTTCTCAGTGGTGTCCAAGTTATGACTGGTGTCGAACACAGTTAAAGAAAAACTACAGTATTTTCACTAGAGGAGCAATAAAAACCATCTTGATTTAAGTGAATGGTAGTGCATATAAATAGTATTTGAAATCTGTCCAACTTCATAAATCGCTTGAATATTTTCAGGTTGCACATCTACACTATTTCCTGTCATTTTCTTGCATTAGTCAGTTTTCCATGTTTTCTTCCTCTCCTCAGTTGTGGGAAAAAGGAGGGAACAACAAAGCTGTCAGAGAATGTGAATAAAAAGAGGTGATCAGCTTTCTGTAGTTTTTTCCTGCACAGGAATGAGGTTTAGATAGGAGTATGGCCCTTTAGTTTTAGCGCTAGTCCCCAGCTGCAGGCATTCCGTAGTGTTCTGTGCTCACTTAAGAGCTGCTGAACACTATCATCTGTCCAAGCTCAAGTGAGCAATAATTTCCCCAGCTTTTTAAGCATTAAATTTGCAACGGCTTTGATTTCTTAGAAATGATGGGACAAAAAATCGTTGTCACCCGTATTAAGTAAATGCCTTCTGAAGGCTATGCTTTGCAGGACTAGGAATTGTTGTCACCTAATAATGTCTTGTTTTCAGTAACTGTTTCTAAAGCTTGGGTTTTTTTAGGAATACACATAACAGTTTAATTCTGTATATGTTCCACAACATGCATCTAAAATTCTTATGTTTCTCATTTCAGAAGTACTATGGAACCTCTGCAGCTCTGGGAGTTTGGAAGGCTTAAATCTAAGTTTGGAAAGGCTTTTTCCGTTCCAGATGATTTGCTGGCTTAAGCGCTTAATTAGGATGGCTTTTGAACAAGTTGGATTAAACATGGAATCAGTAAGTGTTTCAAACGTGCTTTATGTTTTCAGAAAATCAGGTATAGAAAGCAATTAATATATTTTAGCTTGGGCTTATCTATTCCAGCAGAACACTTGAAATATACTCAATACTTGTATGATTCTGCACTGCTGAGAAAGTATGAAGTTTACTACTTGGACGATGAAGTATTGAGTAATATTTGTGTTAAAATACCATGTAGTTCCTTCTAGCTCTAACAAACTGTTTACTTTGTAAACACTGCTTTTCATGCTGGACTTCTATGTGTGTTTTGAGTTGGGGAAATCTTTCAACTGATTTTTAACAGTGATGTTAATTCTTGAATAATCTTATTTCTTTGCTCTTACTTTGGAGATATGAAAAGCCCCATGAAACTGAGATGAATGTAATTGTGCTATATATACATCTCCTGAAAGTGTGACAGTACAAGAGCAACATGACTATGTTCTTTATGGGGGAAACAGAGGAGTGTGCATGCGTAGCTCTCTTCCTGGAGGAAAGTGTGTATAGTTTTCTTTGAACGCTTAGCAGGGAGAGAGATCTGCTACACATCAACTGCTTTGTCACTGGGACCTTTAGGAAGCTATTTTAAGTACAAGTATTGACCTCAGTGCAGTAATTCCTGTAAACTGTCAAAGTATTTTCATGTTTTAACAATGGGGAAATCCTTAACAGCTATGTGCAGTACTTAGAAGGGCAGTTCTTACTCTGGATTACAGTGGTAGAACCTTTTATCAATCTTGCAGATCTATGGAGAGCAAAATGTTTATACATTGTAAATTAAAATTACAAATAAGAAACTGTATTTTAGGATTTTATTCAAACTTTGGTCTGAGATTTCATGCAGTGTAACTTTGAAAATTCAAATTATGAGCATATGCTAGACTGCCATGGGTATTGTTGTGGTCATTGTCAGTAACATCTTTCAGCCTAAATGGGGGGGGAACAAGTTTCTAATCTCTTTCCCCCCCATTCTCTATTTGTATCGTTTGTGATAATGCAGTTACATTTCCAAATGTCTGCTGTTCTGGACAACAGCAAAACACTGATGCAATAAAAGGCTATGACTAAGTAATATTGTGCAGACTTGCTCTGCCAGTGCTTCAAGTCAAGAAATTGTTGTAGAGCAGTGCTGAGACTTACTAGCTCAGCTGAGCAGCATGCTGACTTTATTTGTATACCTTGTGGCACAGTTTGCATGCAGTTTTCTGAAAACATTGTCCCAGCATATCTTGAGTTACCAAAACTGAGTCATAAAAAGTTTTGGTGCACAAAACCACTGTTGTTGAACAACCCCGAGGGCATTTGAGCACGAGATATTTTTGAAGATCTGGGTGCTAATCAACATCTTGTCGATGGTTCTCTAAACAAGTTTTGCCACTTGTTTAAAATGAACTGCACTTAGGTTGGTAATACAGCATGTAGTCTAGGCTCTTTTGCTGTTGTGGAAGTACTTCTATAATTAATTAAGCCTTCTATTGACTAGTATTTTTTCCAAGTACACATTGAGGCTGTCACCAACAGTTCTGCTTCTGACATCAGAATCTGTTGTGTATAGTGGGCTGTATTACTGTAGTTCTGCTTGTCAGTGGCTTTTTCTTGAAGGCTCTACCTGCTATTTTTCAGACATAGAGACAAACAGTAATACGATAGTCACAAATGTGAGGTCTTTGAGGCATCCAAAGTGCAGAATCAATAGAGTACTCAGCCTTGAAAAAATTTGTGTTCAAACTTAGCAGCATATTAAGCTAGAGAATGTATGTTTCATAGAATGTAAAAAATGGGTCCGAGTGGATTAATGGCAAAGTTGCAACTCTGTGAGGACCTAGCATAGCAAACATGCAGGGCACATCCTTTTTTTGTCAAAATATATACACTCTAATAAAGCCAGAGGAAGGAAAGATACTTGTTTAGAAATAGGCAAAATGTTTGTGTGAAGTTTCTGAGATAAAATAACATGGGGATAAATACCAGGGAGCATAAATTTTTCTTTTTAATAGAACCATTAAAATCTAAGAGTACTCACCTTTGTTTAGTATATCAAAATGTTATTCAGTGTGTTGTGAAACTTTCACAGCTGCACTACGCTGATCACGTGTTGCCATGCCAGTTGAGGGTTGTTTCAGTATTAATAGCCTGGATTTTTATTTAAGCTTTCTTTGTTGGGCAACCTTCTAACAGGATGTTGAGTGAGCCTTTAAAAACTAAGGTCTGACTAGTAAATTCCTATCTACAGCTATAAGTAAACACTGGACAAGTTTTTTAAATTACCATACAGTGTTGTGATTGTTTACTAACAACATATCATGTGTTACAGTCTTCCCATTATTATTCTTTGTGTTGTTGTGCTGTTGCCTTTCCCGGTGCTGAAGTTTTTCTTACTTCTTTGTTGGTTTGGTTTGGTTTGGTTTTTGCTTCTCTTCTCACACAATTTGTAGTATTCTCCTAGGATTAAATCTCATTTTGTTTCATACAATTATAGTAAAAGTAGAGCAAACGTTCCTGTCATTAAGTGCAGCAAAAGAAAGCTAATTGTTTCCCTGCTGAAACAACATAAAAGAAATCTGACTTACAGTAGAAGCAGTTCTGATGAAGCCAGCTGTGTGGAGGTGTTGTGGGCAATTTTCTCTAGGTGAATATTTGGGTGGGTTTTTAGGACAAAACTTCATTCTTAGATATTTATTTCCTCCCTTATACACTCCTTTGCTCTTTCATTTCACAGTTACATTTTCATGCTTATGCTAGCTGATAGTTATTTTTAAGACTGGTAGACAGTATTCCCATGTGAGAAGAGGTCTCAATTAAAAAAGAAAAATATATTTTGGGAAATACAGAATTATATAACTTTATTGATTTTTCATGATTGAGTGGCTTTTCTTGAAGTCCCTTAGAAAGAGGTGTCTGACCCAGTGCAGATTATTTATTGCCTTGAAAGTGGACAAATTATGCTTTTGAAGATGCTTCCAACTCTTTAATCTTTCAGTGTTACCTCGTTTATTGCTTTGAATTTAGACTTAATGCAAAGGCTTTCTTGAACTTACGCAGCCATAGACGTATTTCAATGACAAAACCAAATTTTGTGCCAGTTTGGGTATAGAATGTAAGGAGTTCACTGATACAAATTTCAGTGTGTATATATAGTCTGTTCTAGCATGAAAGGAATAACTTTAAAGTTAATGTATTTTATATATTTCAAATACATGTATTTTAAATGTATTTAAATATATTTAGCACTAGCATTGTATGGAAGAGTAAGGGAAAACTATTCCAATATGATATAAAAATCTGTTACCTAAGAGCTTCCTTTTCTTTCCCATCTAGGTGCTATGGTCAAGCAAGCCTTATGGTTCATCTCGGAGTATTGTAAGAAAAATTGGTACTAACCTCTCTCTTATACAGTGTCCAAGAGTTCAGTTTCAGGTAGGTATTCTCAACAGTTTAGAATATGTATTTCAGTATACTGAGAGAGGGATTTGTCTTTCATCAAAAGATTTTAAGGAAATAAGCAGTTCATTGAAATAAATAACTAGAGGATTTGTAAAAGCAGAATATGATAAACTGGGCACATAGGAGCATTAGCTTACTTCAGTTCTTCCCACTTCCAGTTTAGATTTTTTCCAAATGTGGATTCTTCATCTTTTGTACTGCCTAAAACCTGAATCCATGTTGCTGAAACACACATAATGAAACGGATTTTTTTTCTAAGGAAGTTGGAACTTTTAAAATGAGGCAGTAAGTTATTCTTGGGTTAAAATGAGGTAAAAAGTTATTCTTGGAAAAAAATATGTTCATAAAAGAGAAAAATATTTGTAACTTATTTCTATAAACTACTTACAAGCTAGGCTTAAGAGGCATGTAAAGATGAACAGTGTTAACTAAAAATATTTGGGAAAATAACCAACTTTATCAGAAAGTAAAAAATTGGGAACAAAATAACATATACCCTGTTTGCTTTTATCTTAAATACAAGGCTAGCACTGTATAGGTGAAAGGGGAATATCAGTACTGTGCAGCTGAATTGTTTGCTTTTAACTTCAACTGTGTATAGTGGGAGGGTGAAGAGTGAGGGTAAAAGCTTAAGGAGTAGAACACCCTTGCTTTTTATAACAAGTCTTTCAGGAACAGATGGGGAAGTGGAAGCTGTTACACATAATCTCTTCAACTCTGTGTTAAGGATAGGGGGTGGGTATGGACTGGAGAAATTTAGTGTTTGAAACTCAAGCTGAGAGAGCAAGGGTGGAGAACATAAAGATGAATGGTGGGAATCATCACCCCCACTAAGAAATTTCCACACAACTATATTTTTTCATTATTTAAATTAATTTCTTTATCGTATATGAAATATATGAACAATATTTAGACTTGAAATTATAGTAACAAAATCACATTGTTCAGATTACCGTAGAAGCCTTTTTGGTGTGATAGTAAAAGCCATGCTAACATTTTGCCTCTCTTAAATAATTACATTTAGGAACTATGGGGCAACTATCTCCCACTACTAGTGGCATGGTGAAGCTTAAAAAAATAAATGTATGCAGTGGTATATTGGAGATCTGTACAGGTGAGAAGGCCAGCAAAATGACATGCTGGATTTAAACTTTTGGATACATAATTAATAGTAGTTATCCCAGCAGTAAGGCTCCATGTGCCTCAGATTTGAAAGGAAGTGAGGTTCTCCTATAATGTATCTGATTTTCTCTACTGTAAAGGCCATACAAGGGAAGGTGATGCTCATTTGTAGATAGTTAGCCAAATACTGCCTTCTCTTAATATGGTACATAAAAGAAGACATTTCTGGTTTATGTTCTTGCAAAGAGCTATAAGATACATCTGGGGAATCTGTTCCTGAATATTTTTAGTGTTGAAATAAAAATGTGTATATATATCTTTGCCTGAATTCTATGTTAGATAAATATTTGCCCATTTTTCCTCTTAGAGACATTCAGTCAGCTTTGTATAGATTTTATGTACCCTAAGTATAAGCATTCATCATCTATTAGATGAAAGGAAAGAATCCTAAAAATAGAAGTACACTTGTCAGTTGAGTGAATTAGAAATAGGAATTTCGAAATTTGAGCCTTGAAATACTTTGAAATTTATATGGTTAAACTATTTTAATATATAAACTGCTGAACATGTAAAAGTGTGATGCTAACACCTGTTTTTTATTTCTTTATCTCAGCGTTAAGATTCTGTAGTGAAGTTCAATACTGGTCTCGATTGTTTTTATGCTGTTGCAACTGATGCTTTCCTATAGCTGTCTCTTCCTCTTTCTTTCTTGCCAGCTTTAGCTATAATATGAAAGGACCATGCACTGAACCTTGCTGTAAGTCACTTTATTTAAAAACCAAAGCAAACCTTACTTGCGTCATCTGAGGGTGCATGTCTGTCATCAGTGTTTCTAACATTATCCATAAAGAGCAAGAAACTTGCCGCAGGTCTTTGTTTTCCTTACGATAAATGGATAAGAGATACTGAAAGAGTATCTATGTTCATTCTTTCTTCTCTTCTAGCATGCTTTTGTTCAGCTAGACTGAGAAGAAGAGCAGTAGCATATGTAACCTTTTGATTTTTGAGGTCTACTGAGTGTTTTAGTATCTATCTCTATGGGATCTTGCCATATTCAACATTTAGATTAACTGCTAAGTGCTGCTTATGTATTCAGTAAGTGGTGACAGAGCTTACTCTATATCGCATGAACAGATGAAAGTGGTTTATATACTTCTTTTGTATGTCATATTTTTGAGGTTTATGTGTAGTCTTTAGGAGAAAATAAAGTTAAACTTGCCAGTATAGCCTAGGTAGATTGAACCAGACCTACAATACTGTCTCTTAAGATAGTATCCTTAAACTACATTCTAGTCCCATGCTTTTCTTGTTTGTCTGATGGAAACCTGGTAACTCAGTAAAAGTCTCCTAAGGAATTGGTGTCCATGTAGCAAACCTCAGAATTTACTGGGCTAATTTGAAAAATCATAGCAAATGTCTTACTTAAACAAGTCTTTCCACATGTCTATTATCTAACTGTATTAGTAATTTGAAATTAAGAGGTTTTATTCTATCCTTAAATGTAGAAAAATGGTTGTTCTGGTCTCTGCTTCCTGGAGCAAACGCAAAAGAAATAGGGATCCTGCAGGGGTGCTGTCCAGCCAGGTTTCCGTAGTGTAGTGGTTATCACATTCGCCTAACACGCGAAAGGTCCCCGGTTCGAAACCGGGCGGAAACAGTGGCAGAGCAGAGTCCTAGAGGGCTGGACCTGTGGTTTTTTTTAATTGGGTCCCTTCCAACTCGAGATATTCTGTGACATCAGCCAAAACAGTGCAGTGTGTGTATTCTATTCTTTTCTTCAGAAATTCCCGGAGTAATGGGTCTGCAACGCACAGGCATGCATGTCTGTGTGCAGCATACATGCCCATGAAACAGGCAAAAAAGCCTGTGAAGGAATAAATGAGGTAAACAAACTACATAGTTTGCAGAGACAAAAAAGCTGGTTACTTTCACTGTTTCATGCAGTTCCTGTCATCTGGTAGAACTGGGACTCAGCTCTCAGTTGTCCATTTCAGGTGCTGGCAGAGCAGTTGTCCAAGTTCTCCTCAGCAGAGTTTCATTCTGCAGACAGGCAAAGGTTTTAAGAGATGGGTGTTGGCTTTTAACCTTTAAATGAAAGTAAAAATCTTGCATTAGCGTGTAATTCAAAGTCTACCGCTGTGGAAGACCTTGTTTTTAGGGATAGAAAAAAGAAACATCTGTATATGGGGTAACAAGCAGATTCTGTTTACATATAAATAGAATAAAAAAGTAAGAAGAAACTTACATATCAATGTAACAGAAGGCTTGCTACTAATTGTTGGATTAGAAGTTATTTATCTCACAATGCAGGAAACCTGGTAGTGGTAAATGCATTCCTTACTGTTGATTTATAAAATTATTTTTGATGCAAGTATGTGTAGTGCCTTTGTTTAAATGTGCCTTCAATCTTGTCATGGTAATAGTTCCTCACGTAGCCATTACCAGCAGCAAAATCTGTATCACCTGCAGGAAGTGGCTAATGTGTTACGGGTTTTTTAAATTGCCATTAACATTAATACAGATGCTGTGGTCATGAAAATTTCTTTTTATTTGGAAAAAAAGCAAAAAAGCCAAGGAAGCCTCAAACAATGAAAATCCTAACATGCAATATAGTATTCTCTAGACTGTTTTAAAGAGAGGCAGACTGTGATGGTATTAGGCACAACTGTTAATGTGATAAACGTATTACCATCTGTGCTGATGCTACCTGGAAAAAACCCTGTTGTTTCCAAATGATCTGATGGTGCCAATACACACTCCTGGGAGCTGTGATAAAGGCTCACATACAAGTTGCAAGAGTGTGAGGTGAAGATGACTAATCTCAATTTCCAAAGCTGTTTGTAACAACTCCTGAGGAAAAAACAACCCCAGACACACAACTATCTTCCTGGGACTTGTGTGTCAAAGGCTACAACTAAAATATCTGTGGATGTTCTTCAGAAACTGTTTCAACTCATCCAGATTACAGTCCTACTGTGATATCTGATACAAATTCAGGTCAATGCTATCATTTCATAGTTGCTGCTACATAATAGTTTCCTCTTACAGAGGTGAGTTGCCTTGAAACTTGACCGAAGTGCTAACAGGCTGGATTCAAGCTGTCTTCACAGACTGTTCCATACTACCACCATCTTTGACAGTATTACTAGCTTCTTGGCTGTGACCAGCAGCAGGCAGCACTTAAAACAGCTGAATGACTTGTGTGCAGATTTGCCTGGTGGACTGTATATATAATAATACAAGCAAAAGAGGTGGTTTAGTTGCATTGGAGATAATAACTCAAGGTGACAGACTGAGCAGAAGAAATTACTGAAAGATCTTTCGGTAGCTAAAGTACTGAGACCAGACTGCTCAGTAGTCCAGTGACTGAGTACACTTGCCCTTGTCTAACCCAGGGAAGCAGCCAGTATTTCAAAGTAGATTTGAAATAATTTTGTGTAGTTATGGCTATGTAGCATGTATTGATGGTCCAAACAGTTTTTCAAATCTCCATTCAGGTCATTTAACTGTAAATGTAAGAAAGATCCCAGTCTCTGTAGACTTGCTCAACTTTGGCTTCAAACAGCTATAAAGCTAATGGCAGAACCATGCTGGAAAATGGTCAATTTGTTTGGCATGCTGTAAATAAGCTTGTTAGCAAATAATATATTCTGTTATGATTGTATCCTACCTCTCACTCAGAGTCTTTGTGATTACTGAGCTAGTAGAAATGGCTTTTTGCCCCCTCCATTCCCCCCCATGCCCCATGTAATATACACAACTTAATTCTTGCACAAAAGTTCTGGAAGTTGTAGAGGAAGGGAAACACTTCAATAGAATTTCACTTTCAAAATAATACTGATAATAATACTAAGAGCAAAAGAAGTACTATTAGCCTTAATTATTTTTTTTTAAGTACTGGTCATTAATAATAGTTTAAAACCACATTATTTTAAATGTTAAAAAAGCAAACCTCTTGAGAATGTTGAAGATTGTATGTCTCCTAAGGTAACAATTTGCATTGCATTTTCAATGTTCAGTAGTGTCATGTGATAGTATATGTAGTTAGCCATGAACCTCTGTAAAGTGTTCAGCAGACTAGACTGAATAGTTTGAAGTCAGTGAAATGGTTGTGGTCTAAGCCCATGACAGAAATAAGTGTGCTAAGTCTACAGATGTGTTTTGTGCATGTATGTGGTGTCACATGTTGCCTCACTAAAAATACTAGGTAAAATAACTGACTTGGGCTGGGAATAATGACTCTAAAACCTTCAATCTTTTCTTTAAAATTTAGCTTACTTCTCATGCCACAGAAGGAAACCATCCTAATCAACTTAGAGAAGATGCAGTGGCCTCCTTTGCAGATGTGGGATGGGTTGCTCAAGAAGAAGGTGAAGTCTCCACACGGCTCAGGTATGCTCCTCTAATCTGCTTTTTGAACTTCTGAACTGAGAGGAAGAAAGGTAGCTTCTCTGCAGTGAGAATCTACTGTGCGTTGCAATTAATGGAGAGCACTTGGATGCTGGGAGAAGAGAGAGGGAAGAGCAACCAAAAAGGTAGGGTCTGGAAAAGAATTAGTAGCGGTTAGACTAACATGGTTATGAATGAAAGACTAGTTTGAAAACAAACAGGAGACTGGATTTATACAAGATTGTTTTTTTTATTTACTTATTTACTGCAAAGAATTGCATGTAACAGCTTCAAGCAACCTTGTCCCCACAAAAAGCACACTTGCTAATGCTGTTTCTCCCTTTCTCCTAAGATTTTTGTTAATATGGGGCAGTGTAGTGTACAGCTTCCTAATTAGCAGCAATGGTCATTCTAACAATCCAGTAAATGGCACGTTGTTTTTCACCTTTCTGATTAAGGCTCTGCAGCCAGCTAAAGACAATTTAAAAAATTATGATTTATATTTTGTCTTTAATCTTCATAACAAAAACTGGCAGGGAAGCATGTGAGCACCTGTGTCCAGAATGGTGGGATAGGTACTGTTGTGTTGGACCAAGAGTACTGCATAGCCCTGTAACTTCATGGCAGAGGTTGGCTGAAGTAACTTCAGTTCTCTGTTCCAGCCTACCCAAATTGTTGCTCAGACTAGCCAGAAACAAAGGTACAGTTCTGTAGTGCAGAGGAAGTTTTTTCTTCTAAACAAACTAACCATCCAGAGAAAGGCACAGATTTTTGGCTTCAGAGATTACTGGAGGATACTGTTCTTAATTTGAAAGCACAAAATAGGTTAGTAATGACCTAGATGCCCTCCAACATGACTTGCCACAGTGAAGCTTTGCATAACAAACATTCTGGCACTGCCACATTAATTTCACAGACTCAGAGGGGAGTCGCACAAATCAGCACTTGTTTGGGAAACACTGTTTGTAAAGTCTGTTTGATGCAAAGGAAATTAACTGGCCAATACTACTTTTGTTTGCACAGAAACATTTTGTCTAAGGATTGAACTGTAAAGCTATTATGTTTAATGGAGACAACAGGGAGAATAGCTCTTTGGTGCTTCAAAGAACCTATTATGAAAGATGTAGGACTTGCATATTTGCTGAGATGTCTGCATGTGAAGGGGGGAAGGGGGACGGGGGACAGATGGATGTGGGATGGGACTAAAATAATCCTGCAGATATATAGTGACCTTAAGGCAAACAGCTTATAATGGAGCATGGTAAGTGAATTACTTAGCAAATATGAGTATTTCGATGTGCACCGATTATTACATCTGTGCACAGTATTATGTAGTGGAGCTAGTATGCATTAGGTGTTTTCCGAGCATTTGAAATTCTCTGTTTTGACAAGATCGCATAGGTGTTACTTTTAAATATATATTCACTGTATAATTCAGTAAACAGTCTTGCAGACATAGTTTTTTCTGTGAATGCAGTTTATAGAGGAAGAAGCTGAATAACAAATCATTTTTTCCCTACCCCTAGTCAGAGCAGTAGTGACAATTCAAGCATAATATTTTTTCCACAGTGTTAGATTCCAATCAGTTCATTTCCTTAAAAGACATTACTGGTCTGAGCAGAAAATACCCTTTGTTGTTTAGCTATTCTGCTCCTTTAAAGAGTTTCTAGAAGGCAGATTTTAAAGAGTGAAGTGACCACTGGCTCATTCCACCTTACTTATTTAGGGAGAGGAGGAGGTGGCTGCTGTAGGAAGCATCCTGTTCTCTTCTCAGCTTTAGCTGCTCTCTATTCCTATCTAGGTAACACCTGAATTTTAATATTCTTGATAATATTAAATTCTGCTTGATCAAATTTCTGCAAGTTGTGCTGATGCTTTCTGTCAGTGTTGTGGAAGACTCAAATGTGTGTCTAATCCTGGATTCAGGTTGTCAGAGCACAGGGTTTGTTCTGACCTTAAATCTTGGCTCTTGCTTCGAGTCTAGCACAACTGCATTTTTAACATGATGCACATCCAGGGTAGCTTAACCTATGCATTCAGAGTGATGGGGCTCTTTAGTTTGGAGCCATTTACACATTTTGAAAAGTCATATCGTTCGCCACTGTTCTTACTCTCGTGTTTGAATAAATAATGGAATCCTGACCTGCCTGAGAAGCTTTGGGACTGAAGCTAAGGAGGACTGATATCTTGCAGTTATGTTTATGATAATCTGTTGTCCTTAATCCTTATTGATTCTACTTTTACAGAATCATAAAATAGTTTGAGTTGAGACTTTTAATGGTCATCTAGTCTAACCCCCCCTGCAGTAAGCAGGGACATCTTCAACTAGAACTGGTTGCTCAGATACTGAGAGTAAACAGTTTAAGATCTTGGTGTCTCCAGTGAATATAACCTTTTATAAGCACTTATTTGACTGCAGATGCTCTGGGTAGTGCCTCAGTGTTTAACATAGCTTGAGCTTTGGGTGGTAATAAAGGAAGGCAACAGAGTTGCATTTTCTTGCTCTTGTGATAAAGAAAGGGGAAGCTCATGGAATCTTTAAACTGTAGGAAGTTTTCTTCTTTATAATTTTATTTATTGTGATCGAAAAATAGATATAAGACCCTTTGCCGTTTACTGATAAACAGCCTCTGTGTCACTAAACTGTTTAATGTACTCTGTACTCCCAGCACTGCTAAAACGGAGGCCTGTCCCTTCAGAAGTCCAGAAAGTACAAAAATATGCTGTGGAACTATAATAAGAAACTTCTTCAAAGGTATCAACTGCAAGTGACTACTTGTACCCCATGGGGGGAAAATAGTAGCCTTTGCGAAAAAAAAAAACCAAAACAACTTACATTTGATTCCAACAAAAACCACAATAGCTGTGAGGCAGAGAAATAGATTGGGGATGAGGAGGAATGTATTCCGTTTTTCTCCTGAAATCAAGGATTCCACAAAAAGCTGGCTAGGGGAAGAGAAAAAATACAGCTAGTGATGCAAACAGAAAGGATGTGAAGCTTTTACTTACTTTAATCTGTATAATGTCTTGGTGGAAAAAATTTGGTAAAGACAATTTTGAAGTTTCAATTTGTATTCCAGATTTGTATTAACATTGGTTTAGTTTTTACCTTTTACAAAGCCTTTAAAAAAAAAAATCTTGTGCTATTTTTGTTACAGGTCAGAAGTTTGGTCAAAAACAGCCCAGCCTCTTTCAGGTGAACTTCATTCTGGAAAGTCCCCATACAGACAGATGTCCTTACAAAACCCTGTGGAAGAATCAGTGTCCAGGAACACAGTGACCGCAAATGAAGAAGCTCTGCAGAAGATCAGTGCTCTAGAAAATGAACTAGCCACTTTAAGAGCACAAATAGCCAAAATTGTGATCTTGCAGGAACAACAGAACCTGACGGCAGGTATTAAATTTATTGTACTTTTAGCAAAAATTAATCCCTTTAATAATGTGTTAATTCTTTTTTGTGAGATACTGCAACACTGAACACTTCTCCATATTGTTTTGGTTAGTTTGGTAGACAGACGTAGCAATGCTAACCAAGGGCTACAAAATAGGTCTTGAAGACAAGAGACCTGCCAGATTTTCTGTATTTCTAGTATTCCAAAAGCCTTCATGTTTGTGTGAAAGTCTGCCAGAGTTCTGAATCTGTGGATGAGTAAAGAAGTATTAAACAGCTTTCAGAGCAAAAGCTCATGATAAACATGATGGCTTAAACCAAACTAAAGGAATGTAACTGAATTACTAACGCTTAAGTCTTCCCCTCCAGTAATGAAATAGGCCCTCTGATATCATGAAGTAATCATACAAGATGCTAATTACACTTCTGGAGTATGTAATATGCATCTCAAGTTTATGAAATAAATAACAGAAAAGGAGATTGTTTACTGGCATCATCTCTGGGATCAGACACATTGTCCAGATGGAACGAAAATGGTGTACAGTTTCTGGTAGTAAACAGAGTAATTCTTCTTTTCCTGAGTTTCTCCTCTTTGTCACCTCTGACTGTGTTCCAGTTCCAAGTTTACCATCTCTAGAGATTAGTGGGAGATGGCCCTTGTCCACTGCAGATGAGAGCCATTTGTTTTTTACTCTTTCCTAAGGTCACTTAGCAAGCACAGTTTTGCATATGTTTATGTCTAAAATCATATCTGATTCTTCAGATATTCTTGTTTAGCTTTTGTCTGAACCGATACCAGTTACTCTATTTTTCCTTAACTGTTCATATCAAAACTATGAGATACTTTTAAGGATCACGTGGTTTCAGTCTTGAATTGTAATTATTGTGGGGGTTTTGTGGAATAACTAAAAACTTATTTTTCATCGTTCTCCTTTTACCCCTGTTAGGAAAATTAAATTTTGATTTGATTTTATCATCTTTACCTCCCTCTTCTGGCAGAACACGGTAACTACACTGTGTGTATGCCTACATGTACACAGACAAGACTCCTCTATATTACCTATATACATATCCTTACACACTTTATACTCCAAGCCTCAGAACTCTGGTTTGATCTTGGTTTGCCGGTTTCTTTAAGGGTGCATTTGAGCAGAGGTTTCTCCATTTATTTGTCAAGTTATTACTGCTGTTATACATATAACATCAATTTTTACCTAAAGAGTATAGGGAACTTGAAATCAATATTACTATGAGACTATATTCAGAGAGATGATGACCTCAAAGACCTGAAATAAGCCTCAATTTAAGCACTATTTGAGCTCTGAAATTTACATTTAAAAATCTTTTATGGTAATTTCTTATTTGTGATCAGCAGGAAAAAACAGTGCTCACATGGCAGATTGTATGTGACTTCCAGCTCAGTACCTGCCTCTCAGGGGAAGGTGAACTACTGATAAAATTAGGAACAGAACATAACTAAAAGACATTGTGATGGCCACCCCATTGCAGTAAAGACATGAATGTACCTGGAATTTGAACTGGAAATTCAAAAGAACACTTCTTACTCTTAGAGAATGATTTATGATGTGGCTTTTCACATAATGCATGTTTTATTTGTAGTTGGGCCAAGTCAAGTGGGTTCAGCTGCTATCCTGGTTGCACCACCACCACCACCACCACCTCCTCCTCCTCCTCCTCCACCACCACTCCCTCCCCCAGGTCTACAACAGAGTACATCTGCCATTGAGCTTATTAAAGAAAGAAAAAACAAAAAAATGAACTCTGGGCAGAATCTGACAGAAAATGGGCCAAAGAAGTCTGAAATACCAAACATGCTAGAAATCCTCAAAGACATGAACAGCGTGAAACTACGCTCAGTGAAAAGGTAAGAAATATAAATAAATGTCAATGTATTAACATCTGCATTAATGATTTGGTTTTATGACTCGGAACTATTTCAAGGGGAGACAGATGCTGATGTAACACCTGACAATGCAAAAACATTCACAACTTCTAAAGCTTTGTTTTGGACTGTGTTAATGGTTCTCACTTTCTTTTCTAGATCATCAGAAGGTACAAAATCTAAAGTGGCTGACCCTACAGATCCTGCGGCATTAATAGCAGAAGCGCTCAAAAAGAAATTTGCTTATCGATACCGAAACGATAGCCAAAGTGAAACAGAAAAGGTGATTCCAAAGACTGAAACAAAGACAAAGACTGAGGTAGTGCTGGTGAGTATTGTGATTCTGAACACATGCTTGGACTAAATTATAGTTGTCATGAAAGCCAACATAATGTCTTTGCCAACATACGCAAATACCTGTGAGTTAGTATCCCTGTCCACAAAACCTTATGAAGTACTACTGATATGCCAGGATTTGTGACAGTCATGCTTTTAGTATCAAGTCTTACGATTGTATACTCCTTAGGCCCTAGGCTTAAAAAACTCTGTTACGGTTTCCTTTTTTTTTAAACAAATATTTTCTGTTGCCATGAGCATGTGATATTCAGAAAACTCAATTCCTAAGGGTTCATACCAGAATCAAATCTGAATAGACTTTGCCTGTTAACTACCAATCTTAACCATCCAGATAGTACATGTGAGATTTTGAAACAAGATCCTGAAACATGTCAGCTATTCCTAGGAATGAAGAAAGCAAATTGTTCAGAATGCCTGCTGTATCTTGGTATAGCGAGTTTCTTCTACTAACTGGAAATGCCAAGTACATAGCAGCAGTTTCTTTATAGTGTGAAAATAAAATTAAATTATATTTAATATCTGCATCATGATGCAAGTTAATGGCTTCTAGTTTATTTCAGATTGATTTGAAATTAAAGGGGTTTTAAAGCTATGACTGTTCAAGATACCAGTTTCTAGCAATATATGCTTTAACAGGCTAATATAGATCAGTTTTGTTAGTAAGCAATCCTTGAAGCCTTGTGCTATAGAATCAGAGAGAAAGGTGTTTTTTCCTTTCGTGTGTTTGGAAAAATGAGTGTAAAATGTCAAAAGCTGGCTCCCCTCTGAATTACATTCTGAGGAAAGTAAAAGATTCCCAAGCCACAAATTTCAAGACTTTTGAGTACTTCAGCTTATTAATGTTGACTGACTCACCTTCTGGTTTAGGCCCCTGGTATACTCCTGGAATGTTCAGGCTGTTCTTCATGAATAAAAGGCTAGATATTCCCTAAGAATCAATCATGTTTCCTGTCATCTCTAGGGCTTTAAGGAAAAGAACATGAGTTGGCAATGTTTAATTCGCATATGGGTTTTTCATGACTTTCCAATTGTGAAATTTACAGTCCTTGAGATTAAGGATCAAGTCCTAAAAAGCTAAGAAAACTGAAGGATATAATTTGTTAAATGATGATCCTTAATGAACCAATAAACATGCCATCAGTTACTTATCAGTATGTAACTTCTTTGCTAGATCAGTCCTCTTACGATATCCTTGTATGATACAGTTTTTTAAAAGGATTTGCACAGATATACACAATAGAGTAAAAACAGAAATACTGTTAAACTGCTGCTAGAGCAATTGCTTGTCAACTTCTAAAGAAGACAGATGCAGTTATTTTGCTGTGGCAGAGCAAACCATCACTAGTCAGAGCTGCTCAAGCAGATGGTTAGCTGCTTCATCTGAGTGGTTTCAGCTGACTGCTGACACAAGTTCCTGTTACTTTGTGGTTATGAAGTGGGTAAAATCCACATGCAGAGGAGCGGGTTGATTAAAGGAAATTATCTCTGTCCAAGTTCTTGTTTTACTTAAAACTTGAACGGATAACACTTCAACTGGGTTTCCATTGGAAGCAATCTGAACATGTTTCTGGTTTCCTTCTCAGTTTGGACCGCACATGCTGAAGTCTACAGGAAAAATGAAGACTTTAATTGAAAAATCTTAACATATTAAGATCACTACACAAAAGACTTAGGCTGTTTTGTCTGAAATCTTTTATGTTGCAAATAGCACTAGTACTGAGTGGTCTCTTACAACCCAGGAAGAACCTAATGTGAAACACAGAATTGAGGCACTAAATATGTTTGTATGTGATTTATCAAGGGGAATAAATTTGACCATTATACTCAGGTATTAATTTTGTATTCAAACCTGGCTTTCTACTCAGACTTACATGGTGGTTTATTAATGCTAAGTTATATATGAACATTCTTTGTGCATAACTGACCACCTTTAAAAATGTATGTACATGTTAATAACAATAGTGATACACTCTTAAGTTAATACCAGTTATTTGAGCTCTAGCTGTAACTTGCACTACAATGTTTAGTTTAATACTGAATTTTTCATGTCAGTCTTTCTTTTAAACTTAATTTTAGCAAACTTTTAGCCCAAAGAAAACCCGAATGCATTCTGCTTCTTACTGAAAAAGTAGAAACTTAAACCTGTTGCAGAGGTCACCTGGTAGGAGACATTTTAAGTAGCAGCACGTTTTTGTGCAGGGTGGGGGGTTTTTTGTTTTGTTATTTTCAAATGAGCTTGCAAGGGTAAGAGAGCAAAACCTTCTTGTATCATCCTGTGGCCAGTGTAAAGAGTGCATGACAAGTGAGTAAATCATGATGTGGGAGCCTCTGTGAATAGCTAGTCCAATTAATTTGAAATAACCAGTAGATAGCAGCAGAGTACAATAATGTCAGAGTATGTGTTAACTTGCATAGAAGTGGTGTAGATAAGGAAAAAGGTACCAAGTACTGTGGGGTGCAAGTTGCCAAAAGTATATTGTTCTCAGCTGTGCTAAGAGATGCTTGTGGACACCTTCTTACCCCCAGCTGTCTTGGGTCCCTGGATAGGTTTCCAGCAGCTGGGGACCACATAAGCCCTCATGGTCCTGTCTGCAGGAACGAGATGGTATAAGCTGTTGCACATAACCTGTTTTCCAGGGGAAGCTCTTTCAGTGACTTCCCACAGCAGCTATTTGCTGCGAGACCTGTACAGGCCTAGTTCATTAACCAGTGACCTGAGCTCACATCTCCAGGCACAGAGGTAGAAAGGGCACAAGCCAAAAATAAAATTCAGGTTGCAAAAAGCTGTTTTAGAACCAGAGAGAGATAGAACTTAGCTGCAGGCTTAAATGAAGCCAAGGATTGTTCAGACTGTTGATGAGCATAGAAAAAACTGAGTCTGGGTATTTCAGTGTTCTAAGTTGATCTGGCTACTGGAACAAGTACAAGTGCCTCTTGGAGCTTCTCTTTTCTAGGAAGAGAAAAAAGCAGCACTTCTTAAACACAGACAGCTGAATGGTTACTGAAGATGACTGAAGCTTTGCTGCTTGTAACTGGAATGTAGATTGTACAATTGAGAAGGATGTTTCCTGGTGTGAAACTTGAAATGGTGTTAATATGTACACAATGTCACTTCCTTCCAAAACGCTCTGCCAGCAGGCTTACTGACAGGCCAAAAATCTTCGTGATCTTTTAAATGCCTTTAAAAACACCTTTTCAAAAGTTAAATTCAGTTTCAAGTTTTGTATTTAATGCTCTTTTGCCACTATATAAAATTAAAAGCAGTTAAATTAAACACTGTGTGTGTGATTTGTGTTACTCTACGAACAACAGCAGCCAGATAGCAACCACAATAAAGTACAGTTCACATTCTGTTATAGTGACTGTAAATCAGTGGTGACAACTTACTTGCATGTCCTTCAGGACTGGACCACTTACCTTGCTGTGCAGCAGGAACAACAGTAGACTTAGCTGCAGAACAGTACAGCACTGTTAATTCAGTTACATTCAGATTAAAAAATAAAAAATAAAAATGGGAACCCATGAGTTTATGCCTCACCACAAACATAACAGGAAGGTTCTTGTTTAAGGGTCTCTTCCCTCCCCTGGTACCCTGAGTTACCCCAAGAGTTCCTTAGTGTGGCACAGTCCCCTGCTCCCAAAAGACTACACCTTCAGAACAGCTGGCCCAGAAAACCTCTGCTGCAGTTTTGGTCTTCAGAGGAAAAACCTCTGTTGAAAGTGCTTCAGCTTACATTATTGTGAATGTCAGAGTTCAAGTGAAATAACTCAGTAATTAAATCATTAACTTGTAAAAGTTAGGATATCACTTGGCCTATTAAACTAGGCTAAAACATGAGAAAAACCCACAACATTGTCTGACCTGCTGACATGAAGTGCAGGTATCCAGCACCCCCAAAATACAAAACGTGGCAACCCTTATTAATTATGTAAAATTATGGTAAAAGAAATGTCATCTGCACAAGAAAATGAAATGACAAAGCTGCCATCACATATTTTATTTTCTGCACCTTAATTTGTATCTTTCTACTTGAAATCTTTTACATACACAGTCCCACTGCCCACAGAAAAACATCCCAAGCAGATGTATGCAAACTAAGGACATTCATGGGCAGAGGCCTTGGGCATAACCTGTACCTGCCTGCGTAGGTGAGTGAATAGTGCAGCCCACAGGGAGCAGATCTGTAGATCAAAAGTTCTGGTGGGGCCGTGGCCTCCATCCCAAAACACAGTGCTGGGCTGCAGTGGGCTGACAGGCTGTTAGCAGTTACACTCCTGGCGTGCGTAGGCTCAGCTCTCACACGAAGTTTAAGGTGGATTGTAGAGGGTGTTCCTGGACAGCATGTTCAAGAAAATGTGTAAATTTTTCCGGTTTAAGTTTGGTCTAAATCAAGCCTGGTAGGACAAGACAGGAGCCCCTTTCCAGGAAAGGTGGCTTAGAACAAAACTGCTCACGTTCAACATCTTGACAAGCTGTACTCATTCCTGTCAGAGCAGATGACAGCAAGATTGCACAGTGTTAAAAGAATCACAGGTTGTTTATAAGTATTATATTGAAATATTGCTATATACATGTTTGTAAACTCATTAACTTTAATTTTCATTAAAATTACATATTAAAAATATGCTTATAAATAGCCTGTAAGAAGTAGCAACACTTATATTGCTGTTGAAGGCCTGTCTTTAAACCACGTCCCATTTTGACAAAAATCTGAGTCACAGAAGACATCATCAGATACTGATTTTAGTGGTTGTTTTGAAAACAGCTGCAGGTTTGGCATATGTTTTATTCAAAAACATCAAAGAGGAATCAGTACTTTTCCACACTTAACCCTACAAATCTGCAGAGGCTGTAAGGAAGCTCAGCTGTAGTCTCTCTGTAGTGAGTTACTCACACCCAGATGTTACCTGTTTGTTCTGACAGCTCCAAACACCACTGGCAACTATCACCCTTTCAAAGACAACCTGTTAGAATAAGGCTTTTCTGTTACTGCAAGTTATAACCAAAGCTCATTATCCCATTTGATCCTTCTCTGTTGAAGTCAGACGACAGCAAGAACTTGCACTGACAGCAAAGGAAGGAAGTTCACGCAGGTTCAAAAACATGGTTTCATTACAAATTTATTTTTTTAAACATGGCCACCTTGAGATTAATGATACTACTTCAGGGAACATGAAAGAATAATAAACAACTTAATTTTAGAAGGGAAACAATCTGATAAGTCAGGATTTGCTGTTCAAACAGTAAAAGGCCAAGCTCCAAGAGGCAATAAATTTTGGCATGAGGACTAGTGTTTTCAAATCCAAAAGTTGGCTTATTTTACGGTGGGAGCTGACTGCAACCTTAGCTACCTTTCCATAATGCTGGACTCGGTCGTAACTTAAATGTACAGGAGCATAATGTGAAAAGATTTTTTTTATTAATTAAAAGTTAACAGCAACAGGCACATATTAAAATGAATATGGCAAAGCCTTTACAAATGGCTTTACGCTGAAGCTCTCTCCCAAAAATGGCTGTTGCAACAAACTGTAAACAGAATTAATAAACAGTCTTTTACAATAATAACAGGGAAATACAAATGAACTAAAAGAAAGCACCAGTTTCTCAAACTAGATTACAGTTGTGCTTACTGTACTTAAAACAATGTAAAACAAATTACAAAAATGGAATGTTTTAAGTTTAAAATTAGTCCTTTAATTTTGTCCTAAAAAACATTTTCTCCTTTTCCCATCAAAAACCCATTAGTGGGTAAGGTTTCAGTAGAGGGAGGAATACGTAAACAATGCACTTTTTTTTTTTAATTATTATTTTTCAAATCAAAAACAAATTTGGTCACTTAGCTTTGTGCATAGTTTAAGGCATCTGTAGCAATTTGTTACAGTTTCCTCCCCATTGTGGCTGTTCATGAAATTGTCACATTCTGAAAGAATAAATTAAAAAAAAAAATGTTGCCGTTCAAACCCTTCCCAGTACCCTCCCGCCCTCCCCATCCCAAACATACTCACACACCCACACATACACACACGCTGCAGCGAAAGGGGCATTTGTACCCTTGTTCTGAAGGACACGCTTCCCATCCCACTTTATTTCAGATTGGCAAATACCCTGAGCTGATTATGGTGTTTAGACATTCCACCTTGTTCTTGCATGTGCAGTTCAAGTGTACAATAGTGAAAACAACATGCGATGTTTCCACTGCAGAATCGCAATGCAGTTCGGACGCTTCCCCC